ACACCTAAACAAGGCTCCCTTTATCATGAAATGGGTATGTTCCTCTTAAGAATCAGTTTAATTTATTGTATTACAAAATACAAACTCAATGCATGTGATGCTATACATTACAGAAATTCTTATATCTAAAAGTGTCTTGTCACATTTTACTACATTATATGCTTAAGATGAAGTCTATCACTGACTCTTGTCTTATCTTTTCTTGTCCTGTTTTTTCCCGTGTCCCATTTTGTAAACCCTGCCTGATAATTTCTCCAACTTTTTTTTTTCATTTTCTCACTAAAATCATTGTTTTGAACCCTTTTTGCATTCTTATTTCTTACTCTAACCTGGCAGCTCCTCTTGCTGCGCCCTCCTGTGAGGGCCTGCTACTGCAGGATAATGCTGTGTCTGCTGAGATTCGTGCTTTGCTCTCATCCTATTACAATGACAGGTGAAGTAACAGGACTCAGAGGTCTCACTGTTAATACACTGTGAATGTAACTAAAACACTGTTGTTGTTGTTGTTGTTATTGTTATCTATACTAGGCTGCTCATTAGCCTCTGTGCAATAATAACTAACTTTTACCTAAATAAATGTTTATTATTCCTACATTTACCTAAATAAATGTTTATTTTTCCTACAGTTATTGAGTCTTCTGATGACCTCAGCACCACAGTCTCAGACATACTGGCACGGAGGATGCAGGAGCTGGAGCTCCGCAGTCAGCTGGGATCGTCTCCCACATGGATGACTCTGTTTGAGGAAAACATCCCACAAAGCGCCAGTCGCCCTCGTCCCTGTGATTCTCGCCTGTTGGGCCACAGCCCTTGCTCCGCTCGCCGCCCGTCCCGAAGCCCCATGAGCCCACAGAGGTACCCACAGCTGGGTCTGTTATCCTCTGATGCAAGTCTGACTTCAGACAGTGACAGCCACTGCAGCACCAGTCCCTGCTCTCAGCAACATGCCTGGCCTGATTCCAACTTCGCTCTCCTGACATCATCTTCCCCATCCCGTTTTAGGCCGCGCACTTTGTCTCTAGATGCAAAACTCAGCACCCTCAGAGGGCGGGGCTATGGGGCCTTTCAGTGCTCCTGTCAGACTCCTCCCTCTTCTATTGTGAATCCTCTTCAGACATCTCAGTCCCCTCTGTCTTTGTGCAGCACACAAACCACTCTCTCCTGCTCAAGCTCCACCTCCAGTAACAGCTCCAGTAACAGTGACGGCAGCCACAGCCTGGAGCTATCCGAAGGAGTCCCCTTTTCAAGGCCCTCCCCAGCTCGCCGCAGTCTCAGGAACTTACGAGCCAGACTTGATCCTCGCAACTGGCTCCAAAGTCAAGTGTGAGCCTTTTGGCCATGGGGCAAACTTAAATTGTAATACACCTGGCTTAATATATGTGAAACCTCCGACAGTCTGCTAAGATCTGAGTACTGCTCCAGGACAAACTGCATCTATCCTGCTTCATAGAAGAGCCCTAATGGGAATGGCTTCTAACACAAAATAGATGACAATCATCTTGGTTGCTCTGCACTTTAATGGGTTATAAAGTAGTGGGGGACATCCCCACTAAATCAAAATACGGTACAGAGAGTTTTCTTTTAAATATGTGAGGTACTTTTGGGAGAGATGGTTCATGATAATGTAAAGCTCTCTAATTGGAGCACATTTTGTTCTATTTGTGTGTCAGCTATACTGGCCACCTAAAAGTTCTAACTAATAATGCACTAGCAGGTCATATTGTGGTACAGTTGTGCAGTGTTGTTAAGAGAGCAAATTAGCATGTGCCCAGATGAACATTTGATGAGAATGTGTTTTCACATAATTGTGTTGCCTATACTGTGAGAACTGTTTCAGTGTATTTTTCTCCTCATCAGATTATACACCGAAGCCCTTATATTTTTAGCATAATTTCACTGTCAAAATGCTAAACGTCAGTATGTGGACGAAAGCTTTGAATGCCCACACACTTACTGTACTAGTCATTACTGTGTTTACCTGTACAACCTGATCTGATCCATTTTTGCCAATGTTCGGAAGTATTTCTCCATAAATAGGTTACTGCTATTATCTACAATGCAATACCTCTATGTACAAGGAATCGCTAAAAATATATTTCAACATGGCAATACTAGATAATATTATAGTATTGGAGAATAGGTATGTATGTCTTATTTAATTAAGTTATTTACTTTGTCTTTTAAACTCAACACAAATACTTCAATTTCATGAGTGTTACATATGTCAAATGTTTCCATGCAGCATTTTCTGTAAATGTAAATTAGTTTTATATACTAACAAATAAACCTCTTCTCTTTATATTTTGTTTGTACATATTCTGAAGATGTGATTTGCAGAGAATGTTTCAATGGAATCTCGTTGGCAGGTTTTCTACTCTGCACGATCTCATCCTGTATGAAATAAGAAAATGTAAATAATAATTTTAATAAATGTGTTGCGTTTAACTAACTACTAAAGATACATGGCAGTAAATTGAAGCATGTAACTTGCATCTTCACACACAAACCCACAGACCTGCTATATGAGAAGACCAAACATTTTCACTCTTGGTTTCTGGTTCTCCTTTGGCTTTATAACTTTCACCCAGGGGGTCCTATCTGAACGACATCAAATTTAATTTCAGGCAAGAAAGAGCTGTGAAATGCAGTTACAAGAGAGGCTTTATTGCCCATGCTGATATCCTTGGGTTTCTCTGTAGTACAAAGCACTCTTACAAAGGAGGTAGTTGACACTGCGTTCACGGTTATATGCATAGACTAGAATTATGGCCACTCTTACTCATTTTCAAATGTGTCAAAGGAATTTCCAATGCATCCTGCTTTTAGTTTGCAGTGCAGTGTACTAATACCATTAGTGTGCTCTTATAGCTTAACAGCATTTCAAATATAAAACACGTTGATACATAAATAACAAAAAACAATATTTACAGAATAACATTAATAAATACATATATATGGTATAATATGCTTAATATTTTGCTGATTATTGACTTATGTAAGCCGTTTAGGTTTGGCAATCTTATATTTTGTGCTGGGCTACATAAGTGAATAATATTACATTAAACCCAAAGATAATTTACCCCATTTTAATACTGTCCATTCATGTTTTTTGTGCAGCTGTGCTTCTTCTTCTAAGGTGTGACATCTTATTAGCAGGCACTACGTGGGTTGAAAGCTCGCAGAGCCACACCAGCAAGCGTCCTCCAAGCAAATGTGGAGAACTTAGCAGGACAGGTTTCTGCTCTGCTGATGTATCCAGTTGCAATCCGATGGAGACGCTTTGCACCAAATGCATTGTAATGTCCAGGAAGGACTTGATCAACCTAGAAAATGAAGAACACATATTAAATACACATATAAAACCAGCATATTCTGTTAAATTGATATAGTTTCTCTTTGTTACCTGTTCACTGTCCACAAGACCCACAAGGCGCTCACAACTACTGATATAGTCACTTACGTGACTGTAGGGCAGCCAGTCAATCATGGCACCATCATACACTACATCTCCACTGAAGAGCAGTTTGTTCTCTCTGTCATGAAGGCAAATGCTGCCTCTAGAGTGACCAGGCATATGCAACACGGTCAGCTGTCTGTCCCCCAGATTAATTACATCACCTAAACAGAAAGCAAAATATCTTATGAATACTGACATCTGCTGAGAGGCTATTATGCGTAGCTGGGGAGCACCTATTGTACATACTTTTTAGGTTTTCATAAGTAGTAGACATGCCAGCTTGTGATGAAGGTGAGGAAAATGCCCAAATGCCAATAACTTCATTTGACTTAGAAAAAAGGTATATGGGCTATACCAAGACCTGCTGACACTAAAATAACCTCCAGACGAGGTGGCCCACTACTACAACGTGTGAAATAACCAGTGGAAATAAAATGCACCTGTGACATGCTGTAAGTGTGACGTACCCTCTTGCAGTATATGGGTCGGCTGCACGGCCTTGACTTTGTAGTTCCTTGCTCTCCATCCTGGACATGGGGCTTCAGCTATTTCTCTGTCGCTGAGCCAGGTAACCGTCTCAAAATTGTCCCCGTTTGCCAAAGCATCCACCTCTGCGCTGTGGACGCCCACCTGTTGGAACTGATGCAGGCCACCAGAATGGTCGAAGTGGGCGTGGGTGGCAATAGCCAGCAGCGGATTCTTTCGCTGCGGATCCTTGCCCAGTAGCCCTTTAGCGTCGATGTATTCAGGTAAGCTCCTCAAGCCAAGGCCAGTGTCTATTACCACGTCCTGGTGTGTGCCGCGCAGCAGCCAGATGTTGGCCCTGTTGTCTGACTGATAAAACCGCTCCTGGATCCAGAAGAGTCCGTCCCCAAGCGATTTGTGCGCGTACCAGTCGGCCGCAGCCATCCCAGTTTCTGCACCTGTCAAGGCTGCTACAGAAGGATTTTGCCGTCAGGTGTTAAACAGCTGCTACTAGCCGTACTGCTAAAGGTAGTGTATTTCATTGAGGGTGACGCGATGGTGGCCGCAGACACACCCTTAGGGGAGGAGAATGAGGTCATTGGACCTAAGCAAATGACGGTAGGCTTAAAGCCGCTGCTATTGGCAGGGCTTTTCTGCAGCGTCAGCGATGGGCGGTGCGCTTAAAAGTCACAAATGACCACAAGGCGTGCACGATGAGAAAGGCTGTTTTTTGCTCACCCGTGTGTGAGATTGGCTAGCAAGTTGCCTGAGTTAGTCTATTTTCATATGTAGGCCTATATATATATTATTACTACCCCAAGTTCATAGTAGAATTCAATTTCTCTACGACTTATTAGCCTTTCTTCCAAGCACTCTCACTCAGTGAGTACAGTATTTTAAGTGCATTTTCCTGATGGTATAACTTGTTTGTATAAGGAGCTTGAGTTTGGGACAGCATGGCAAAAATTATATATACATATGTATATATACATAAAATATAAAGAATTACAACTATTCCCTGACATTTACCGCATGTATAGAGCTGACATGTGTGTGCTGATGCAGGTCGAGTCGCTGGCTTGCAGCCATGGCAGGCAGGGGCCGTGGAGTGGCTGCCTTCACCTTCAACATCGAGGCTCTGGGCATCAGCAGAGGCAGCATGCCAGAGACCAGGGTGGGGCCCAGTCCACTGTTTCCAGTAAGTAATACAGTATTGTATATCCCCACTCGAGGATGAGTGTGCTACCAGAACACTAAAATACAAGAGCTAATTATTACACAGGAGAGATTGCATGATAAATTGCTGTCTAAACTTTGCATGTTTTACACCCAACTGTTCATTACATCTCAAGACACCCCTGCCCTGTGTTTTATATAGCAAACAGATTTTAAGCCTGTGCCATTGAAAGATGGGGAGGATGATAACTATATGCTGGCATTAAAACAGGAAATGAGAGGAACAATGCAACAAAGACCACACAACATCAAGCCCCGAAACAATAAAGCTGGTGAGAAAAAAATTAATGGGACTAGTCTTCAATTACAGATAATGTAAAATGTGTTGTACTGAATAGAGGTGGAGAGATACACGGAGCGCTACCTCAAGAAAATAAAAATGGGAGATGAAGAATGGACTCCTGGTATAAGTTCAAAATAAATGATATAGATACATTATTAAACTGATTGTTAAGAAAAACATAAATAACTAAATATGTCTGCATTTCAGATTGGAATCTTTTCCCAAAAGAACTGATGCCCCAAAAGAAGAAAACACGTTCAAAGACAAGTATTTGAAATATGCCAATTTAAAAAAAAACAATTCTTTAAGTTTACCCTAATATAATTTTTGTTGTACGGCAACAGACACAAAGAAGAAAGCTGTCAAAGTAACACACAAAGATGCAGAGGCAGTGCTCAGTAAATTAGATGTAAGACAGATTTTGCCATTTGACTTGCAGACTTAGTATAAGCCATATTCAGTTTATAAAATAAATGTACAATTGTTATACCCAGGAACTGGCAAAAAAAGATGATGGAACTACAGAAAACTCTGATGATGAAAAAGAAAAAAAGAAGGAAAATGAAGAACTTGAAGAGGAGGAATTGGAAGAGGAGGATCTTGAAGAGGTTTGAATTGGATATAGCATTTTATCGTGTATCTCAAGTAATACCATGTTTATAAAATATAAATGTATTATCCGTTCTAGGAAAATGATTACATTGAAAGCTATTTTGACAATGGAGAGGACTTTGCTGCTGATAGTGATGACAACATGGATGGTGAAGCTACTTACTGACAATTTCTAGTTCTCCCATATAAATTTCAGGGTTAAATCAGTTAGATTTAAAGGATCAAGTGTAGAAGAGGGATTCTGAAATCATGCTCAATAAAGCTTTATATTCTCAGATTTCTACTCTAGTATTATTTCCCTATTTGTATAAATATGGGTTTACAAATGCTAACATTCAAATTATTAAATTATTTATTTATATTCTTAGATCTAGACAGTTTTAGAGGATAAAAGGCACGACTGTCAACATGTATTATTTAATAAAATATTAACTTTGAGCATTGATAAAATAAAGTAATTCAAACAAACCTGGAAATTCAAAATTACAACAAAAATGAAATACTGTATGCATGCCAATTTCCTACGCTTCCAGGTTAAAAGATAATCCACATTTCCTTAAGCAGAAGAAACTGGGCCCATGCTAATATTATATCACTGAATACTGATAGTGTTAGATGAAATGGAATTAATCTCTCAATAACTGTAATAAATTAATTCTAATTTAAATATTTTATCTTTCTATAAAGTATAGAGCAAATTGGTCCACACATACTGTACAAAACTCATCTAATCAAAATAAAACGTAAAAAAAAAAAAAACAGACAAAAGTAATGCAGTCTTGCAGTCAGACTTGGCATTAGAAAAAGTATAAGCAGATATAGGATGCAATTAAACACAACATTTTTTATCATAAAAATAATTCCTGCTCAAGTAAGTGAAATCGTTGAAAAAGGCAAAATGTAAAATTTTCCCACCCTTGGCCCTAGAATCAAAACTATTCCTTATAGTCACTGCAGACAGGTCCTAATGGCACCAAATGGCCAAAACATTTTTTACCGCAGGACAATAAATTCTAGTTCTTAAGTCCATTTCAAATGCTATAAAACTATAGAACGCACATACTATGTGACTGCCCATGTTATGTATTTAAGTTGTTAGCATCACTGTCTTTGTGTGTGGTGTGATGTGCTGGTCTCTTTCGTTCATCAACATTTCTGTCAGGGTGCCCTGGACCAGCCACTGCATCTTGATTAAGACTGTCTAAGTTAACGTCCAAAACTTTGCCATTGAATTGTCCTAGATGCATATCATCATTAGTTTGTGTTGGATTACCATGATGGCTTACATCCGCTTTCACAAGAACCTCATAATACAGCAAATAAAACACAGGAGTAACAATGCCAACAAACAACATGATGGCAACAGCTGTCCACCATCTCATGCCCCAATCTGCCCCATAATATGGATCCTTTCTTTGCACTGGCTTATACTCCACTTCTGCCAGCAGAGGCTGTTGTTGGTGAAGAGATAAAGAAGACACAACCTGGTTAAGGCTGCTCCGTGAAGGATTAGTGGACTTCACCAGCCGCTCTATGTCTTTATCCTTCTCCAGAAGAAATCCCTCTACGCTGTCAGCAGAGGAGGACGAGTCTGTGGAGGACTCCAGAGGAAGGGCAGTTGAAGCAGAGATCTGCGGCTGGTGCCTGGCACCAGGAGGTGTGGAAGATGGGGCTGGTGTACTCATGTGAGTCTCAGTAAGGATGCTAAAACGCTTCACTGGAATTTTGATTGAACGAAGAGCAAAAAAGTCTTGTTCTTTCAAAAGGTTGTTAGCACGTTTAATATCAGCAACCTGAAAGAGAGCCACAGTAACAATATAAGCTAACAGTTTGTCCTTACCCTTACATTGGGGTATACAGAAATACATATACTAAAGCAAATCAAAATATCACTTTACCGTGCAATGGTATTGGAGAGCAATACTATTGAGTGTATCTCCCTCCTGAATGTCTCTAACCAGATACACAATATCATCCATCTTTTCTCGAGAAGTGCTTCTACGCAATCGCTCTCGACCTCGGGGCCGCAGCTCATAGCTCTCACCATCCTCCTCCGACAAGTCGTTCTCTGAGCAGCTGTTTGTGAACAGGTACGTATGACCTCCATTAGAAGGCTGCACCATAGTGGCTGACTGTAGACCATAGAGCTGGCTCCTAGACATTTTTTCTATGAAAGAAAAATATACAAACAAAACAGCAGTTCAATTAGATTTAACTACATTTCATACAATTAAAGTTGTCAATCAAGGTTTTAAAATTAAATTAAGTCACACAAGTCTACTGCCAAGGTTTACATGCTGGGGCACATTTCACAATTTTATCACCTTTTAAAACGTTTTCTTCTATATTGTTTTAAAAAAAAATTATTTTTATTTTTTATTTAATGCACTGAGCATTATGTGATTACCATGTAGCGATAATACAAACAAATACACAACACAAAATTATCTTTTGCAAAGTTAAACATATTACCCCTGCTTACATTTTTAATAATACTTTCCATAACATAAGAATACAATACAAAAATTCCTACAGTTTACTTTATAAAAGAGTGTGAGAAAGTTGTGACGAATTCATTTGAGGGAAAATGAACATCTATGTGTCAAGGTCCTTCTTTTACGTAACTTTCGCAATCTCAAACACTGGCTGCACTGTGGTTAATTGAACATCCTATCTAATAGTGAGATAATGCGATAACAGATGTTTACCATATGGACGAAATCTGTAAAAAAAAAAAAACAAAAAACAAGAAAACGTGTTGTTCTAGGGTGATCTGTTATTCCCTGTGCATTTGGTGGCACACCCCAATGACATTCAATCACATTATTGTTTAAGTCTACTTAATAATAGCTTTTTGGCATATACTACAGTGATCAGAGCAATAAGATAAGTTACAGACAGCATAATAGATAAAGATGACCGGCCGATTGTTAGGACAAATAGGGCCTGTATTGTATTCTTTAATTATAACTAGAGCTGCCAGAGTTTTCAAATTAAAGTCTGTGCATGCTAACTAAATGCTAGCAAATACACATATGCTTTGTGCCTTCTTCCTATATTTTCTTGTGATTTCAGGTCGATTAACGTTTTGAACTGGGATGTCAGAAATCTCACCTGTTAATGTGGTCGTTAGCTTATTAGGAAAATTAAGAGAAATCCATGACTTCCACGAAACAATTCACAGGCTCACCTTTCCGATGTGGCATACCTGCTGCTGCTGCTAAGTGCTATTGCTGCTAACACTTCTGACTACAAGCTCGAGCTGTTCACGCCACGTCAACAGACTCACTGTGCGTAATGACGTAGAACAAATTACTCGAGCGCAATTTGGACAGCAGATGGGGCAAGAAAGCAACGCGATTCCTGCAAACTGTACTTTTGTATACTCACAGAAAGAAAACTTGTACGTAATAATTTTTAATATTTGTGGGAAACCATTATATATTTGCAACTGTGACCGTTTATTGAATTTTACTAATGTTAATAATGAGATGAATCAGAATTGTAATGTAATGTGTAATTCTAGTGTGTGTGCACCTGCCTATTGACTGCAGATAGAAGGAGATCATCTGATCTTTTGTAAAATTTATTAATTGACCCCGGGTTCCTGACAAATAAAGAATAAACTAAACTTAAAAACAGGCCCTGGGCAATTGAGTAGCTATTTAGAATGCTTTTACACTTTTTATGCCTTTTACACTTTTTCAAATAATTGTAAAACCGCTGTGTAGACGTCACAGAGAGACAGTACGCCTCATCCCCAGTTGGTGGAGCTGTCCGCTACCACTTTAATCTACTCTAGGGAGACAAATGGGATTAAACGTCCAGTCTGATTAGCCAATGCCGCGAGGACAAGCAGGAGCTCTGAAGAAGCTGTAAAGTAATTCTTCTTGAGAGAGAGAGAGAGAGAGAGAAAGAGAGTGTGCGTAACATACAGTAGCAGGCACATGGCCACAACGGTGCGGTGCGCAACAGAGTGGAAACAAGAGAAACCTCAAACAAGAAAGTAGCGGGACTGTTGCCCGGTTTTTACATTTCTCTTGTCGTAGACTGGTAAAGGATACATGCTATATCTGATGTTTGCAGCACATGCTTCCACAAGAGAATTCAACTGGATGCTATTTGGACAAACCTGACGGTTTTGAAAGCCCGTATCGATGGTATCCTCAACAACACTAGATATATAGATATTTACTTCGGACAGAGCCAAGCAAGGTGTCAGGTAAGTTGCACTTTGCGTGTTTTTGAGTGTTTTTGTCGTCTCGAATTAAATATTTATTTTCTCAGTGACAGAAGCGAACATGCCAAAGGATGCGAAAGTTAGGGTCATTTGGGGATGCCTGATGTTTCATATAAAACCCTTTATTATACCATTGAAGTTCTAATAATGTTCCTGTCAGTTTTTGCGCCTAGTTGCCCTAGAAAAAAAAATCAGACCAAAATAAAGTAGCTCCCACGCTACAGACAGTTTAAGCATATTGTACCTTTCTAATGATGTAACCTAATATAATGTGGCTGACCACAGCTAATTTCTTTGTGGTCTATGCCATCACCCCCATCGTCGTTGCCGCTAATAAAAATGAAAAGCCTAAATATTGATTCAGCGTGATCAGTAAATGAATGGCCGGGCAGCCCATTGAAGATGAAGACAAACGCTTCCATGGTTACAGGCAGGATCTCCAGCGTGATTACTGCGCTTTGTCTGGACTTCTCTCTCCCACTGAAATAAAACAACAACTCTGAGGGAACTGCCCCGCATGGTGAGCTGGGCATAGCAGTCCCAAAAGACTCACTTACTAATCTATAGTCTTACTGCAGACATAAGTAACCTGGCACACTTTGTGTTGCGCACATGTGCTGCAAGTGTTAAATAAAAGACTGTTGCCAGTAGCCGTATTTCCCCGTTTCACAGTATTCTGTAGGTCTTGACAATGTAGTTTGCAAGTGTAAAATTAAACTAGCAATACATTTGTCACAATTTTGATTATCAACGCCTTCATTTTTGTTGGTCTTATCATCCGAGAGCCCTTTAGTTCTCAAAAAATGGACTAAAGGTTTTATTGTTCCTCAAAATAATGTACTGTTATATATACATGTATATATAGGTGTATTGTGTACTTTTATCTCACACTGAAAATGGCTTTGATAAAGTAATAACTCATATACTGCCTTACAACATCAATTTGTCACTCCAGTGTTTTGCAGACTTGGGTTGGCCCTGAGCCTTTTGCTCAGAGCTGGGGTCCTTTGTCTGTCAGTGTTTATGTCATTGCCTGGCAGGGGTCAGCCCAGTCGCCCGTGTGGGGGTCTGAGTGTGATTCACGGGGCGGAAACTGTTTTACTGCTTGCCTCTCACTTCTCCTGTCTCATCTCCTAATGTTTCACACTATAAAAAGAAGCACTGCCATAAACTGCTCTTCTGATGGTTGTCAAAATGTTTGTTGAACATGATCTCAGAGTAATCACTTCTTTGGTGTTAACACAGAGGGATAAGCTCTTCTCTGCAACAAGCAGAGCAGGTGCAGCAGATGTGTTTGTTTGAGTTTCTGGTCAAGCGCCCAGTATTTCGTAGTTGATTCTCCCAAAACCCCAGTCATGATGTAATATAAAACTCTTAAAAAAAAAAAAAAAACTCACATATATGCAGATAACTGATGGTTAAACCATATCCAGTTTAGTAGCCTTATACACCATAATTTGTGCACTGTTACTGCTTACACCCAGAGCAGCTTAAAGACTATCTATGAAGGCTCCACGCTAAAATTGCACTGACAAAAGAGAAAGGATTTCTATAGTGAAGGCACAACTTTAACTTTAACTTATATAGTCCAAAACATATGTCAGCACTTGGGTTTTGTCTATCTTATCTAGTTATCACAAATTGTCTCTTTCATATTGTGATATCAATTCTAAGACATATTACCTTCCCTTAATAGTAAACAGCAATTATGGACTTTTCTTTATATTATATGTTTTTATATTTCTTATTTAATCTAGACAGTCTCATGTCTCTTGTAGTGGCAAGACCAGTGTATCTGTGGCCTCACAGATCACTAACGATCCTGAGGTCTGTGTAGTGACAGAGGGGCTGAGCTGTGCCCCAGGAGGTTTCTGTACTGTGGCTCTGTACCTCTTGTATGTAGGACATAGACACATTTTTGTTGTTATTTTATTAAAGCTGCAGTGAGACCCCTGCAGCTTTCTGAGATATGTGACCTCTGACCTCAAGTGATATTTACAAAGCTTGAGATAACTGTGAACTATGTTAATGGCATCTTCTGGTCAAAACTGAGGACTGTATTCAGTAACTTGCATTTGCTTAAATATAATTTCTACAGTCTATCACAATACAATCTTTCAGGAATCGTAAAGCTTTTAGAAAAATAAATTAGAATAAAAACTCCTCCATCATAATTTTCCTCCCAGTGCCTTTATACTCTTGTCGGCCTTCAGTTGTGTGCTTTGTTTTTTCTCACATATTTGTTGTGTGTTCTTGTTCAGGAGTGACAAAAAGCAATAAGGGGCTGAATAGGATGGTTTGCATTCTAGCAAAGAAAAGACCTGCATGCCAGAAAAGCAAGCGTAGCCGAAAGAACTGAGATCTTGCCATGTTAAAAATGCACACAAAACACAAAGAAGACCATGAGGGCTCAAAAGCTTACTCCTTGAAGTTGTATGCTGGTCAGTGAATCGTAAAGTCCAGTTTCTTCTTGAGTGAAAATACGCCCCCATTCTGGTTAGTTTCTTTTGAAATGCAATTAGCATTTCATCCAGGCCCTACTGGTTACATGCAATGAAGTAATGCCCTTTTTTAATTTGGTCCTTTGGTCTGTGGGGCGCTGGAGAGCTCAACCTCATTTAATGCTCGAAAAGGGCTTCTCTGTCTGCATTTCTTCCATACAAGCGTATCAGTCAGGGTACAAAGGAACCCCACTGGAACCACTTATTTGTATGCTCACATACTTACCTATATCCATTATTTTCTGAAGAACCTTAAGATGACCCAATTATATTTTGTTATCCTGACCACAGCCTCTTACCTGCTCATGCTTTCCCAGATGGTTGAATACTGAGTTTATTTGATCGTGTTAAAAAGGCCGTCCTATGAATTCTAGAATTAGTTCTGAAACAAATAATAAACTTGCTGTGCCATACAATTCTTACTTCATCAGCTCAGCGAAGGTTTTGCTTAAGATAGTTACTGACGTCTGGACATGAAACTCTTTCTAACTGAGTGACAGTTTTGTCTCATGTGATGTCATATGTTTAAGTTGTAGTATAATATTTATAGTTTATATTTTAGTTTCCCCCCTGAGTTGCAAGAACAGTCACTGATCTAAAAATACCAAAAACAGAACATTTAAAGTGCAATTATGGTTTTTGAGTTGACCCAGAATGGCAGCTGTGGCTTGAGGAGGGTGGTTCATAAGGTATTGTAACAGACATACAGACAAAGAGGTCACATTGAATTTGAACATTATAGCGACCTCTCACATTGTTATTGTGACAGGCCTTGCTGGCATCAATGATGATCCCAAAGAAAAGCTTTGATGTGTTGTTTTTATTGGCAAATTTGCATCTGTGGTAATTATTTTATTTGAGATTGCTCTTAGATAGTAAACAAATGTTGTAAGAACTCTCTTATATGTGGGGATCATAATGACAGAGTAGATGTAGTGCATCTGTGGCCAATCTGGCTCTATATCATTGTACAGAGTTGTAAGATTGATAAATGAGCTCCCACTGCAGGCCTCCCATACTCAAATACTACATGTGTGTGTGTGAGAATCAGTCTGCCAAATATTACCACAAGTTACTCACCAAGGGCGTCTCTGGAGCAGGGAAGCCCCAGGGCAGGAGTCCCACATGGGAAAGCCCAAGATTAAGAGGCTGTAATCCCACACAGTTACTACCAAAAAGGAAGTAAATGTATTTCTTTACACTCTTAAAAATGTGGTGCACTCTAATTTAATGGACGAATAAATACTGTAGCACATTCGATTTGGCAAACTGGCTTGGAAAGTAGTTGTTCATTGGCCTCATATGTTCTGTAAAATTAAACAGGCAACTGCATTACCTAGTGCCATTATGGTCTATCTGTATCAGTCCCTTGTGCCATGTTAATCATTCCTATTCATTTTATGCCATCTCTTAAAAGACTTTTAGACTTTCGAAGAACAAAGGTTTCACTTTTCTAATAGACAGATCAATGTAAGCTACAGTGGTCAGTGTGGATCAGTTGTCATGGCACTTTCTA